TCGAGTAGATGAATTTTTGTTATTTTGATGAAATCAAATTTTGGAATCATAGCAGATCATTAACCGATCAGTGATATATTGAATATATACATTTGAAAGTGAATTAGTGATAACACGATGATACTTATGAAACCAGTTTACAGAAATATCAAAAAGCCATACTCGAGATAAAAGAAAATAGGTGTCTTCAAACTATAGAACGCTGCTTGTTTTCTAAATTATATTTCAAACGTTATGAAAAAAATGTAATTGAACACCTCCACTAGGGGAATTCCAGGAAGGAAGAAGAAGCCGTGCAACGATAGTAATGTCGCTGCACCTTCCAAAATCTCCGCGGAGGCCGCCGTGAAATACCTCAAGGTTGCCAAAGAGAGAGTGTGTTCGGCGAGTCTTGGCCTACGCCTGCCGATATAAAGGAGATGTTTCCTAGTGACCTGTCCATCTTCCTGGAAAGGACAGGCTGGACGAAGACCTAGGAGGACAACTCCTCAGGAGGGTGTACAATGGGTTACATGTGGCCTAAGTGCTGTGGGTATACATCCACCCTCCCTATTATATACATACATAAGTATGGCCCTGTTTTCTCCTGGTTGCTTTATATAATAGTTGTTCTACAATTTCGGCTTCTAGTATATGTAACTTCATTTTATTTGAATGGGTGGGGTGAAAATGATTCACACAACACTAACATTCAATGCTCACAGTGACATCTGTCAAGTTAGTCAAAATCGAGTCCAAAAGTGTCGGTTACAAACGAACAAACATGAAAGTGAGGCTAATGAAAGCATGTTATGAATATTGTAATGAAGTTGCTATTTGTCTACGAATAGTTCATAGAGTTCTTTCACATTCCAAACAGAATAAATATATCTCGGTTATTTCTTGGCATCAAAATATAGTTTCTGCTGGAAAATATTCAGGAAAATGCCTGGAAATCGATACATTTATCAGTTCCATTCTGCGGGTGATGAAAACTTCCTGTATAATTTATGGCAATCCTTACCGTTATCCATAGCAGCGATGATACAAACCACCTCGTCGGAGCTGAGGGTAGGAAACGTGTCTGATGGGGTGCGATTTGATATGCCCACGCGAGACAGCGAAAATGTGCAGTCTAGTCCGATTGACCACTCGAAATACCAAGCCAAGCCAGCAGCAGAAAAACGAGCCGAAGCCAACCGAGCTACACCAAGTCAACTGCTTAGTGTGCCAACCGACGAAACGAGTCGACAGGGAGTAGTTCCGAGTCATACAAGTCCACAAAATGATGGAAGACGCCAAAGTGGAGTTGATCGAGATAGCTGAGGCTCTAAAGATATCAAAGAAATAAGTTCAACATATTGTACATGAATATTTGGGCAAGCGAAAGCTCTGTTCAAAGTGTGTGCCGCGCATGCTCACAATCAACCCAAAACAACAACAAATTGATGATTCTAAGCAGTGTTTGCAGCTGTTCCACTTTAAAAAATCTGAATTTATGTGTCAATAAAGGACAATGGATACATGTCTCCATCACTGCAGCCTAGTATCAGAGCAATCGTTTTATGATTGGACTGCACGTGGTGCACTTATGGTATTAGGATTTTGGGATACGGATATGATCTTCATCGACTATCCTGAAAACGATAAAATCATCAACAGCGACTATTACACAGTGGTATTGAAGCGTTTGAAGGACGAAATCGCGAAAAATTGCATGATTGGAGCATCGAATTGCTTTCGCATCCACCATTCTCTCCAGATCTAGTCCCCAGCGATTTTTTTCTTTATGTTTTCAGAACTCAAGAGAATACTCGCTGCAAAGAAATGTACCGTCGTTCGCGCATCTCAGAGGTACAGCTAGATTTGCACAGCTGAAGTTCTACTCTTCTTAGATGGAGAGTCCACGCTAGCTGGGTATTGCACAAACTAGTTTTTGGTATTGTTCAACTAAAATATGAGACTTCAAATCTTCCTCGTCGCTTGCAGTGCTTGCTCATTCCAAAACAAAATCAGTTGAATCAATCATTGCACCTCTATATTCCAAAACAAGATAGATTGACAGCTGACGACAATCGCATAAGATGCATGATTTGATGCTCATATTGTTTGTATTATTTCTCGCTACACCTTCTCACTCAGTGGATGGAGGGTCTTGATGATTGATAGATATCGATTGGTACATTAGAATTCAGGCCTGAAGTAGGATAAACAGATGAATATAACTTGTTTTTATTGAATTTCACAGTCACATATATCATTCAGATGATTGCTACAGTAAACTAAATGATTTGGAGTCCTACTGAAGAAAATATCTGGGAAATAATTCAGGTAAAACTCAGGTTATTGAAACTCCAATTCCGTGATTATGATGAGAGTTCTGAGTTTGGCAAACTCATTTCCTGTCCTCAAAGTTGTGGTAGTTAACATCATTATCTGATTATTATTCCCGAAGGGATTGCTCAGAGTCATATCTTGACAATCTAATGATGTCTAGTTGGATATACCGCGTATTGCAGGATTCAGAATGATACAATAATTTTTCAGAATTCAATATTGTCGAGCTCATAATGGAAGTTTCAGCCTCGTTGATGTAACGTTAGATTGAGGATTATCACCTAATCCTAATATATTGAAAACGATTCTTGAATGAGTTTTCCAACAATCACCACCATCTTTCGTTGAATGCAATATTCAATTTATCAGGGAAACATTTTTACTCAAATAATGGATGAGAGTAACCGAATATTACCAAAGGCAATCAGCGAAAAATTATGAGGTTACAAATTTCATCAGAGTTATAGAGTTTTTTATTAAAAATAATTACCTTCCTCCATAAATAAAAAAAAATTATATGACAATAGACAACCTACACTGAAAACAAACAATTCAAAATATTTCATGATTCCTTATGTGCATAACCTTTCTGAAAAACTTGAAGCAGTTCGAAATAATGAACACATCGAAATTGCGTTTGCAAATGCAAACACTGTAGACAAAAGACTTTTTTTCCAAACAAAAAACAAAAACTTAGATGAAAATGCAATCAAACATCATTTATAAAATAAATTGCAAGGATTGTCCAAAATGTTGTGTAGGACAAACGGGACGTTACCCGAAAAACAGGTTGTGTGAGCATGAAAGAAATAAAAAATGTCGAATATTGCCAATACAACAGCCCTCGTTGAACACACAAGATAAAACAACCACTGTTTTGACTTTGCAAACCCCAATAATTTAGATATTTACCCTTTATTAGGTAAACAATTGTATAGTGAGATGATCCACATTTTCAAAAAAAAAAGTGTTAACACTAGAAGAGACATATGAGGACTGAATAGTGCTCATTTCAATTTGTTAAATCGGATTTCTTAACAGTTCAGTACAAAGAAGTGAGATGATCCACATTTTCAAAAAAAAAAAGTGTTAACACTAGAAGAGACATATGAGGACTGAATAGTGCTCATTTCAATTTGTTAAATCGGATTTCTTAACAGTTCAGTACAAAGAAGTTTCCACTATTCCGCGTACTGTGACTATTTTCTATCGTTTATAATTTTCAGAAATGATAAACATAAAGGCCCAGTTCTATTCAGTTTTCTTCCTTGATAGCGTATTAATTTTCAATGTGTATGTGTTTATATGAGTTCTATGTACTCCTTATTTCCGTTTGTTTTCGTACCTACGTTATAATAATAATAATAATAGCATGTATTTATTCACTTCCTTAAGATTTTTTACAGTAATTATACATGTGCATATAGAAATGTACAGTGAACAAATAAAATACATCTTACGAGGCAAAATGATATGCCTGTGTGTAAGGAATGAGAATACTGAATCTGACATTGAATGAGATTCATGTATTGAATTAAGTACTAAGATATAAATTTAAAATAGCTACATTTGAACAGAATATAATTAAATAAAAACAATCAATCTATTGGAATAAATACTAGATAGAGAAGAATGAAAGTTTGAACTGGACATATTTTGACATAATATAAATAAATTGAACAATCAATGGATATAGAAAATAATATTTATAAAAAAAAGCTGTCTGGGATCAAATATTTCAGACTCTGAATAAAGTAGATCGCTAGGTTAGTCGTAACCTTTCCATAGGATATATCTGATGAATCTCTTCTGCATAACCTCAAGGGAATGTAGATGAATTCTCGACACTCCACCTCAACCAATTATACTATACACCATAACATAATTTTTTGTTTTTGATTGATTATGTTAGCTAGTATGCAACGTAATTTTCCAACTATGTGCTGGTTCCATCTGAGATTGCTGTCTAAAATTATTCCAAGATATTTTCTTTTCTTTGTGGGTTTTATGACTTCCGTATTGGAGATTTTGATGTCATATTCTGGTAGAGAGTTGTCATAACTACTGAATGGTACGTAATAGGTTTTCTCAAAGTTAATAGATGTGAGCCTGTAGTCGAACCACAATTTAATTTCATGAAGGTCATGTTCTAATTTCTGTTTCAAATTAAACCAGTTTTCGTCTTCGCAAAACAACACAGTATCATCGACAAAACGCAGAATGTTGGAGTTGATGTCTTGTAGAAGGAGGTTGTTCAAGTAAATATTGAATAGGATTGGTCCTAACACCGTCCCCTGGGGCACACCACATGTAATAATTTCCCCTCCACTTCAACCCTTTCCTCTCTGTTGTAAAGATAACTTTTGAAAAGATTTTTCGCTATACATTTAATTCCCATATCGTCCCATATGTTGTGTGTTATATATACTTTTGAAGTTTATTTAACATGGATAAAGTAATGTTTGGTACATCCACCTATATAATTTTGTAATTTGTATATTGTTTCCTCAAAAAATTATTATATTATAGAACCCTGATGATGAATTTAACGAAGTGCAAACGTTGGCAAAAACTAAATTGTTCATTTACGAAAAAGTGTTTGATTCCTTTCCCAACTCATATATAGAAAACTGCATTTGAAAATATCATTTAAATAACCAAACGTCACAAAATTGAAAGCTACATTGAAAAACATTAAATTTTTATTGATCCAGAATCTGATTTATCATTCTGCACCTACAAATATAACTTCTGATATAAAATAACAGTCATCATATAGTGTTCATCTTCATTTGAGTTTGTCAATATAGTTCAAAAGCTCTGATCTCTCACCAAGTTATTTCAACTCCTTCTCAATTTAAATCGAATACAAATACATTTAGTCATATTCATTTGATAAACTAGTCACATAATTGTAAAATGATATTTTTTATGTCTTTTGTATAATATGTGTACTGCACAATTTTTCGACAGCCTAGTACTTTTACTGATATGATAAATTTCACAAAATACCGCTGTTTGAATAGCTAACACTAAATATTTTGACTCGTACGTTAACTGCACATACATAAACGTTACAGTAATATCAGTTCGGTAACGTGTTTCCACGTCTAATATTGTAAGCGTCACCTAAGAAATGGAGCAAACGTCAGCGATAAGAAAAGAGTAAAATGAAGAATAAGCGACATCCCTTTGTTTGTCGGAGAATTGGAATGGGTCTCCAGTTCAAGGGAAGCCGAAGCTACGCTGGGAAATAGCCAGTTTTCAGACGGATCCTCATCGATCACCTTCCCACCTAGAATGATAAAACAAGTTGAATTAACCAAACTCTACTTCAGTATTCCGGGTTCTCGGTATCACAGCAGATCGATTTTGTTCGAGATGCCACAATGGCTTTGCAACTATTTCATTATTCATTCAGTTTAGACTATTTCACCATGATCTGAAAAAATATACGATACACTACAATATTATTGTTGTTTCAAGAGAATATCTGTAAATGTATCCCAAAAATTATAAAGACATTCCAAGGAATAAATGGTGACAAATTAACCAATCAACTGTCCTAAACAAATGTATTTCCAACAATATTTCATTAATCAAAAACCAATTCATTCATTACAATGCAGCTAACGCCTAATTTATTTCCACTATTTAGTGAACTGCCCTCTTGAGTCGGGAAGACGTGCTTGTATCGGTAACGGTCCTTTCTAGAAACCTGTGGTTTGTTCGGTCCTAGAATTTTACCGGCGATTCCCGACTGCAATTTTTCGCGGTGATGTCACGTGTTTGTTCACTGAGCTAGCCGGCATATCGGTCAGGGACGGCTTTAGATTCATTACAGAATATTGAAATGAACAGAAATGCTATAAGTAACTGAAATAGAACGAGCCAAACCAAGTTACTTTACGACGTTTCGATTGTTAGTATTCACAATCGTCTTCGGATGGTAACTGGACTTATTTCTCCGAGATCTGGGAGTTGGCGGGAGTTGGTCGTGTTCCGCTTGATTGAAGGTTTCCATATGTTGCGTATCTCTACGCTAGCTTGGCTAAATGCGTTGTTAGACAACATATATGCGGCTTCTTTGAATTTTCTCCTAATTCTGTGTTCTTCTTTGTGGATGATTTCAGCTCATAGCCAAGTTGATGCTATGTTAATGAGTCCTTGCTTTGTGTGTTTCTTATGATCGGCAATGCGAACTTTCAACCTCTTAGTTTATCGGATACCCAGCACTCGCAGGGTGAATGCAATTCTTAAAATCGCAGTCCGCGTTTGTTGGCCTGGTTTTTGTAAGGCTGCTACGGATAGTGTTCCGAGATCTGAAGCAGGTTCTGATGTTATACTTGGACCCAATCCTTCTGATCCTCTACGACAATCCTCTGATGTAGGGAAATACAAGTACCTACTGGTTGTTGCGGCTCCTCTTCCTTGTGGAGCTCTCGCTGTTTTCTAGCTAAAGACTGTTCCACCATCACTTTGGAGTAACCATTCCGTTGAAGGTCGTTTTTGATGAGGCCTAGTTCTTTTTCGAGACCTTTCCTTGTATTACAGAGCCCGAAAGCATAGTCTAGTAGATTCTTGACGATTCTTCTCTTAGTCGATTGATGGTGTTTGGATTCCTGGTTCAGATACTGTCCTGTATGAGTGGATTTTTGATACACAGATTTTTCCCATTTCGTCTCGGCCCTCTTCACCAATACGTCTGAGAATGGCAATTCGTTGTGGACTTCCTTCTCCATTGTGAAAGTGATGGAAGGATTTACGTTATTGATGTGCTTCAGCAAGGTGTCCAGTTCTGCATTCCCATGATTTTATATTATGAAGATGTCGTCCACGTATCTTAAACAGACTCGGGGCTTCTTGTGAGCTTCTTCAATGGTCAGAGTTTCAAATCACTCCATATATATCGAGTGGTCCAACGAAAAGTATGCACCTTTCTTTTTTCCTTTTTTTGTAACTTAACGCGAAAATGCTCGAACACGTCAATTTTGCTTTTGAGGCGGACACATTATAGATGTATTTTTCTACATGTGCCTTCAACCCCCTAGCGAGGGTGAGTGACATCCCTGAAATTTTAAATGATACCTAATTTGTTGTATTTACTTGAATAGTTATAAAAAAAGCAAGAACATTTACTTGATATTTTTGGTGTTAATGAAAATGCGGAAAAAACGGCATTTTTATCACTACTACATTCCTCAATTTCTCTCGTGCGTTTTTTGGTTCAAATAACAACAGCAGATAAGTGAACAAAAAGAATTTAGGCAAACGTTCATTGATTCAGTTCGGTTGCTTTTGAAATTATCTCAACTTTACTGTAAAAATGGTTTATTCCATTCCTGATTGAGTTGAAATTGTTAAACTTTATTATCAACATAATAGTTGTGCTAGACTCACTGCTTGCCTCTTTAATAACAGTTATCCCGGGCAAAATGTGAATGATTCGTATGTTGCCAAGTTAGTCCAAAAGTTTGTCGATACCGGATCTGTCTGTAATGTGAAACACCAGCCACGGAAACCGATCAGAAATGAAGCAATGGAAGTCGCTGTTTTGGGACATGTTGAGTTTGATCATACCCAAAGTACCCATCAGCTTGCTGCAGCTGCAGGTGTCTCCCGTTCGTCCATAATACGGATATTAAAAGCCTATAAATTGTATCCGTACAAAATTAAATTAGTACAGGAACTCAATGAAGATGATCCTGACAGAAGGCTGCAATTTTGTGAACAACTGAGCCAGGTACTAATTATTGATGATCCGCACCATCATTCAACACGTGCTTTTCCGATGAGAGTACATTTTTTTTAATGGAGCTGTGAATAGGCATAATTGCCGTTGCTGGGATGACAGTAACCCACACTTATTCCGAAAGGTCCATACCCAGTACCCTCAAAAAATCAATGTTTGGTGTGGCATATTAGGGAGTCATATCGTAGGGCCACTTTTTATTCCTGGGAATTTAACTGGTGCGGTCTACCTGAACATGCTTGAAGATACAATTGATCCTCTCATAACAGAAATAATTGAAAATGACCAAAATCATAATGATGATCGGCTTCATTTCCAGCAAGATGGAGCACCTCCTCACTATGTTGCTCCGGT